CAGGCCAACCTTCTTCATCGAGCTCCGTACCGAGACTGAGAAACAGAAAGCATTTAATGAGAGTATGGGCGTAAGATGAACGAACGATGAGCGTAAGAGAGCGTAAGAAATCCTCTCTGGGGCCTGTCGCAAGAAATTCTTGCGTCCATTTTTGTTGTATGAAATGGGTTGTCTATATGCTGTATGGTTAGTGGTTATTCTAATCGAGCCCTTTACTTTGTGTTTACTTACCATTGTGCTCCCAAAACGCACATAACAAATAACTTCGTATGAGTCTTGCGGTATTTTTGCAATCTTTACTTCCCGCAGCTCCGAAATCGCTCAGCATAAAGATGCGTTTATGATTTTTGCTTTATGTTTACTTTCTGAAGCTCCGAAATCGCTCAGCAAAAATTACCAACAGAGAACAAAAATGTACATATTAGTAATATCAGTCAATTCTCTTCCTTGATCTTAAGCGAACGGTCGTGTTTTTATACCCTTGCAGAGGGTATTATAATTTTGGTCAAAAGTGTGCAACGCAGTGAAGGAGACATCTCCGACCCTATAAAGTATATATATTCTTGATCAGGATCACCTCCTGAGTTGATATGAGCATGTCCGTCTGTCCGTCTGTCCGTCTGTCCGTCTGTCCGTCTGTCCGTCTGTCTGTCTGTTTCTACGCGAACTAGTCTCTCAGTTTTAAAGCTATCGACTTGAAACTTTGCACACACCCTTCTTTCCTTTGCACGCAGTATATAAGTCGGAACGGCCCGGATCGGCCGACTATATCCTATAGCTGCCATATAACTGATTGATCGGAAATGGTATAACTTTGGTGTTTTTAGAGTTAGAGAGTTCAAATTTGACATGAGAGCTATTTTTGGCAAAATAATACGACATGCCAATTTCATAAGGATCGGCCGACTATATCCTATAGCTGCCATATAACTGAACGATCGGAAATGACCCAACTTTCGTGTTTTTGAAGATAGAAAGCTGGAACTTAGTACAGATTTATTTCTTGGTCAGTTGATCCAACCTACCAAATTTCATTAGGATCGGCCGACTATATCCCATAGCTGCCATATAACTGAACGATCGGAAATGGTATTTGGTAGAAATATCAACTTTCGTAGTTTTGAAGATAGAAGTTTGGGACTTTTTTTAGATTTTGTATTGTAATAAATTGGATTATATATTCCTATTCCCATAAGGATCGGCCAACTATATCCGATGTTTGCGATATATATCCGGTTTTAACTGCAAGGGTATATAAACTTCGGCTCCGCCCGAAGTTAGCTTTCCTTTCTTGTTTTTCATTTATGCACTGCGTTTATAAAAATTCTTGCTATAAACCGGTGTTAACCTACTTAAGATTTTTATTTAGAATAACTTCTAAAATATAACTAGAATATATTTCGCCAACGAATAAATCTTTCATGGCTACAAAATAACAACTTACAAACTAATACAAAATAATACAAGACTTATACAAACTTAATAGGTGCCTGATCAACAAGCGTTTTAAGACAACGTTATCAGAGCCATTCTCAATTCGGAGGCTAGGCGGCAAGGAGTTTAAATATAAAAGAGCCCGCTCAATCGGCTCATTTAAAAGATAATTGGCCCTGTGGCAAAGGATCCCTTTGAGGAACATTAAAATTAATGAGTCCCAGTAAAAAAGTGCAATCAATGTTGTCAGCGACTACATTGTTCACAAAAGTTAAAGCTGCCAGTGTACGCCGATCCTCCAACGTGCAAGCATTGAGAAGAAGGCAGCGGCTCAGGTATGAAGATAGAGGATCCTTAAACCTTAGGGGCAGAAGAACAAATTTTAAAAATTTCTTCTGGAGTCGCTCTATTCTGTTGGAACGAACTTTACAAGCCGGATTCCAAATGATTGAAGCATATTCTAGCCTCGACCGAATAAATGCAGCGTAGACGCTGAGGCTCGAGTGTGGACTCTTGAATTGGTTCACGTGCCTCTTCACAAAGCCCAGCATAGCATTCGCTTTAGGCAGAATATAGTCTAAGTGACCAAAAAATTTAAATTTTCTGTCGAATAAGACACCAAAATCCAATACCTCCTCTTTAGCTGCCAAACTATAATTATTGATGGAATAACCCGTGCAGATGTCAAGAGACCGCTTACTATAACGGGTAAACAGACACTTTGATAATTTTAATGGAAGAAGATTACGGGAGCACCATGATTAAACTCTGGATATATCCTCCTGTAACAAGCAACTGTCACTAATGCAGCTAATGGCTTTATAGATTTTAAGGTCATCCGCATACATTAAGAAGTAGGAATGACGAAAGCATAAAGAGATGTCATTGATGAAAATAATAAATATCATAGGAGAGGTCCCAGAGAGCTGCCTTGTGGAAGACCAGAAGAGGTGACAAATGGACTTGAGATAGCGTCTCCAACAGAAACGTGGCAAGGTCGGTCAGCCAGATAAGACTCAAACCAACTTAAAAGGCAGGAATGAATACCTAATTTATCTAACTTGGCCAGAAGGGCAGTAAGACAAACTTTGTCAAAGGCTTTGGAAAAGTCAGTGTATATGGAATCAACCTGAAATCGGTTTTGAATTCCTTAATGGTTAATGGCTAAAGGAATCCTTCATTGTATTAAAAGGTGGTCAAAAGATATTAATGACCCGTCCATAACTAAAACCTTGTTCATTTCTTTGGTCCGTCCGATACTGGAGTACGGTTCAAGAGTCTCTAGTCATGAGTCAATATGGAGTACCATACATCGGGACCGCATAAAATCCGTACTAAAGAATTTCTTAACTTTTTTCACTTAGAGGTCTAAACTGGGATGCAAATCTTCACCTACCATCTTTTAGTAGTAAACTCTTACTAATAAACTTACCTAGCTTAACAAATCGTAGGGAAATGCTCGGTATAGTTTTTCTGCATAACCTAATTAATGGGGATGTAGATAGCCAGCATTTACTAATACGCTTAAAATTTAACATTCCTAATAGAAGGCCTAGAAACTTTAGTCCTCTGTTCTTAGCCGTTGTAGTTCGACATATGCACTGCATGACCCTTTTAGGGTATTATGTTCGAACTACAATGGTCTCTACTCTATAACATTTCTTTCCTGTACCTCAAATTTAAAGTATAGAATTTTAAATTTCCTTACTAACTCCTCCTAGCTTAACAAATTACAAATAGCTTAAAATATACTAATAAATCGTTTTCCGAGCGCCCCTCTGTCGGCACAGACGACGGAACTTTATTATGAGTACAGGAATGCTAGCTAATGCTCTAATTGATGCATAAGCCATTTTCAAAATTCTGAAAGACCGCGAAAAAAAAAGTTTCAAAGCAGTGCTTAGAGAAGACCGCTAAATTAGTTGTAGTGAAACCATGCAAGAAACCATGCTGGTTGGGGGATATAAAATTACGAGCCAGAAATGTAACTTTTTTAAGTATTTATCCACTCCAATATCTTAGCGACGTTGCAAATTTTGACTATAGATCGATAATTAGTAACATCTGACCTACTGCCAGCTTTGTGAGTAGGCGTTACAGAAGTAATCTTCCACCGATAGGGGAATCTACCAGATAAGAGAGACAAGGAGAACAGAAGTTAAAGGGAAGTGAGAAGATACCATCCAAGTCAGGTATGTGTGACTCGGTAAAATGTCTTATGGATTCATCTAGGTCACAGTCCAATATGTCCATGTTACTCACATTGAGAAAAGGCTCAATGCTAAGAAGAGTTTCATTATCGGTCCAAGGAACATTTGGCTCCAAGTTAATTGCAAAGTATTTTGCAAAAAGTTCCGAAACGCTCTGATCAGAGTCGGCTACTAAATTACCATATCATATGAAAGAAGGTATGTCCGATTTTGACTTTTTGGACTTTACTTTAGGACAAGAGAAAAAGCTTTAGGACTAACATCGCTTTAACATCGGATATATACTTGTTAAAAAGAAACTTATTGAGGAATTCAAATTCCCGCTTAAATTGTCGGTATAGCTCTGCTTAAGGACTTAATGGTACATTGCATAATTCTACTTTACTATTAACCACGTTATTTAAAAGATCAAGAATTTTAGAAGGGTCATTAAAAATATTATTTACTTGGGAGAGGCCCTGACTAAAATCATGTAGTTAGTTAGCATGTAGGGAAACTCCGGGTCCCGAGACCAGACAATGGAGTTTAAATTGAATACTGCTACCATCAAAGCAGTAGGGTCCGACGCTCTAGCACAGACACTACACTCAAAATAAAATTTACCCTTAAATTTAGAAATTCGCCATAAAACTTAATTGTTTCTAAATACAAGAAAAAATTTCTAGTTTCTAGAAAAAATTTTCTGAAAACAAGAAAAATTTCTTAAATCAAAGAAGTTTTTCTCAAATATAGAAATAGTCGCCATAAACTGAAATCGCCCTAAAATCAAGAAAACTTTTCTATAATTAAGGCAAATTATGACTTATTTTCAGGAAATATTTTCTTAATAATAGAAAGGCTCACCATAAAATTTACTAACCCTAAAAAATAGAAAACTGTTTCTACAATATAGAAATCCTTTTCTTAAAAAGATACTAACCCTAAAAAATAGAAAACTGTTTCTACAATATAGAAATTCCTTTCTAAAAAAGATACTAACCCTACAAAATAGAAAACTGTTTCTATAATATAGAAATTCCTTTCTAAAAATGCACAGTGTTACCCTTTAATTTAGGTAACCCTAGAAAATATAAATATTTTTTTTAATATATAATTTTTTTTATATTTTATCTCTGTCCGTGGTCGGCATCCAATACATTGATATGATTTTAACGCATTAGTATTAGTATAGCAGAAAGCAGAAAGTAGGCTCTGAGCATGACGCGTCATGACGTTTCACACACTTATACTGTGTGTGTGGCAGAGCACGGGCAGATAAATGCATACTGATCTATATTATATTTTATGTATAAAGTTTTAACATGTTAAATACAAAAAATCATGTTAAGATATAATGTAACGATATTTAAACTATCTCTAAGATGTTGACATTACAAGTTTATTAAAAAGTTTATTTAAAAAGTGCTAATTGATTCCTTGCTGAAAAAGATAAACTGAGAAGCCTTTTCTTTTTTTTCGCTGGTAAGTTACTAAAAACGTTACTAATTTCATAAATAATTTAATTTAATTACTAATTAAATTAATCTAGAGCTAATTGTGGAAAGACATGATAGATCTTAACATCGGAAAAAAGCCAGAAGGTCTGCTGCATATGGCAAAATTTATCATTTGAAGGCTAAGGAGAAAAAGTTATCAACTGGTAAATTACGCCCCACTTCAAAGGTTAAAAATAATTTCCCAAATACATTTTCAGGTAATATGGCTGATGTTCAATAGTGAAGAGGTGAAGCTTAGCCTTGCAAACGCAAAATTTGATCTTACTTTTGAGTGGCGCAAAAGTTTCTTTTTCTAGGACGATACAAGTGTAGCTACACTTAGCTTAGGAGGAATTGCCCATTCTTAAGCAGAATTGTGAAGACAAATTGGTAATATTTTTTATACATTAATTTTGTTTTATTTAATGCATTTATTGAATTAATTCTTAGATTGTGGCAATTTTTTCTCTCATTTCGTTAAAAGGAAGTCCAGAGTTTTATCTTACTAAAACATTCCCTCAACAAAGCGAAGGTAATAATTACACTACCTTAAAAGATGTTTTAAAACATTCACGATTAAATAGTATATTAATATATTTATATCGCAATATTAATTGACGTTATTTTCCACAGATAAAAAGGACGCAAATGATTCACGCTATTCTAGTCCCCACCAAAAGGGGAAAACATGGTGCTACTGGAAATTTATAAGTCAAGTATACAATTCAAGATTCGAGGGTCAAATTTATTATATACCATAAATAAAGTGTTATGTGAAAGTAAGAACTGAAGAGAGCTATCAAAGAAAACAAATGTAAATGTAAAAATAATGTAAAAATATGTAAATGTATGATGTAATATGTAATGTAAAATGTAGAAATAAAATTTCTAGAATTTAGAAAAGGTCACCTTTAATTTAAGAAATATTTGTATATATTGTAGAAAGGTATCTTAATTTTAGGGCGCCTTGCCCTGGGGCTTAGAAAAAATCGCCATGAAATCAAGACATTTTTTCCTTAGTTTTAGAAAAGTACTTTCTAAAACCTAGAAAAACAAACCCTTAATTTAAGAAATTTTTTTCTATTTTTTAGAAATTTTTTTCTTATTTTTAGGGAAATTGGCCTTAGATTTAAGAAAGGAAACGCCATTAATTTTAGAAAAATTTACCCTAAATTTAAGAATTTTTTTCTATTTTTTAGAAATTTTTTTCTTATTTTTAGGGCAATTTTCCTTATATTTTAGAAAGGAAATGCCATTAATGTTAGAAAAATTTACCCTAAATTTTATGGTGCGGTGCCGTTGAAGACAAAAATAGGGCGAATTTCTAAATCTTAGGGTTAATTTTTTTTTGAGTGTAGTGATTTTTTTGTGATACTAAGTGCGCTGTATGGGGGGATATACGACGCAATGATGACGACGGGCCATGGACGCCCTGGATTGAAACGGCAAGCTGAACGGTTGAGGGTCGGCCACCGAAAGGCTAGTGGTGCAGCCTGAAGAGATCGACGGATCGCGATGATCACACCACCTCACACACCAGAATGTATCTCGGTCTTTTTGAAATACATGATACAAGTTAGGCTCAAAGAACTCAGAGAAACTAAAGTTGTCATTGAGCCACAAGGATGATTACATGATTACATCATCCACAAGGATGATTACATCAAAATCGCCGCCAGAAGAATTCAGGAATACCATCCGGGACTTGGTCCTCATTCCCGATATATTTTAAAATAGAATTTTTATGCTTTTATTGGGGTCCGAGGACGAGTAGCTACAGTCCAAACTGGGCATTGGATGGCTAGGCGGTAGTAACGAAGGTACATTCCTGGTACTGGTGCATGTGGAGGCGTATCGAATACGCATAGCTTTCAAGATAGAAAACAAGGACACATACAAATTTTCATTAGACTCCACAGTAGACCTGCGAGTGTCCAATTGCAAGGCAAATCCAGTGCCAGGTGGAAACGTTTATAGAGCGTTTATAGTCAGGCACATCCAAACGCAGCAAGGATCCACTCTCACGTCCAAAATGTAAATAAACATCTTCCATCGGCGAAAAGAAAGCATCAGGGAGTGGCCCAGCGAAAAGAGATAAGATGAGCAGCGGTGCGCTGCCAACGTCTCGATTCCCATCGTCTTGTTGTTGCAACTCGCCTTGAAAATAGTTGTTGTTGTTGGAGAATATCAATCAGCAAACAAAGCAAATTATCGGAGGAATTGAAGAAAGCGTCAACCGTTACCATTAACACCCACGCCGTTTGTTGTTGGTAGCGCAGCAGAGAGCAATCGGTGTGACAATAGAATAGAAGCTTGTGAAGGGGAAGAAATAACGGCACCATCAGAGCCGTTTACTGGAGGTTTTTTGAAGATCGCGTTTGTGGTAAAGGGAGAATAGCCGGGAGGTCAATAGCCTTAGAAGGCTCTCTATGCACAAAACGGCTAATTTTCACCGACATAGGCCAAATGTCATCATTGAAGACTGTAGGGAAATGTTGCTCCGGAACTCCCAATTTAAATTTAACGTTGATGTCAGCATCCTTTTTGACAAGCCTAGCACAGGCTAAGCAACTCGGCTCCACGCTCAGCTTATCTGCGACAAAATTGCACATTGCATCCGGTTGGATAGACGTCGCGAATTTACCAATATGAAGGTATTTTAAGGTGGGAAACACTTGAAGCTGAGCGCAACTGGGTAATTGTCCCAAAATGCGCCTATTAGGGTTGATGCGCTTCTTCCTCGGGACAGCCACATTTGATGCCGTTGGGGCCTAGCCGAGTGTAACAATATGCCAGCAGTAGAGGTCTCGGGCCCAACGGGTCCAGCCGCTCCATTTACTAGGGCATGATCTACTTTGGCTTCAAGGCTTTCGAAAAGGAATTCTAGATACAGAAACTTATGATTAAGTTCATTAATTTTGGAATGCCACATTAAGTTCGGAATATTAATAAGTAGTTTTCTTAGGAATGTTAATAAGTAAGTGGTTAAAGGTACATTTTTTAAACTTATTGTATTTTTAATATTAAAATGAAATTTAAACTCGTTTGCTCAATGAAGTCTTGTAGTAAGACAATCTACTCATCCCGGTCTACCATCTATTGCTGAATATGTGAAAACCTAGTACCCGCTTTTGTTTCTTTAGTCAGTTTCGGATGCCATTTCCCGAAGGTCGGGTCTCCATTATCAATCAAGGCAATTGTCGTGCTGTCCAGGGCGAAATGAGGTCGTTCATGAGACAGACTAAGAACGGATGATAAGAGTTGACACTCGGTTTAGCGCCCTTCAGCTGCTAAATTAGTACCCTAATCCGCTGTTAGTAATCCGCTTCAGCCCACAATGAAGCAGCCGCTCATATCTCTGGCCACCCCAAATAAAACAGGAACAATTCGCGGTCCGAATAAAAAAAAAAATAATTAAAAAATATAAATTTATTTAATATATATTAAAAATATAAATAAAAATATATTTATACTACTTTAATGTGAAAAAACATGCAGTAGTACACATTTTTTAAGATATCTACGAGCTTGGTCCAATATTACCGGGCATAAAGCTGAATGTTATAGGAATTATATATTTCTTCTCTTCTGACGTTTAAAAATTTATTTGTGACCTCTAATCAGGCCATTGCCGACCTATAACCAGGTTATTGCAGCAATATTTTTTCAAACAACTTAGTATCCGCCTAAAATGACAGATCAGGCTTACGCATATTATATTAGGCTTACGCTTATAATATTACTTCATTAAGCGTCACTCCACCACCACTAATTTATTTATCATTTTATTCCAAAAGGGACTTCAAGCTAATGTTGTTACACCCTTTAACAAATTATATGACAAAACTGGGTGTATTTTTTCTACATAACCTCATTGATGGTGATGTAGATAGCCACCATTTACTAACACGATTTCATTTCAATATTCCTAATAGAAGCACTAGAAACTTTAGTCCTCTCAGAAATTGGGTTAGATAAAGTTTTTTCTATAGAGAATAGAAATAGGGAAGCGTAGTTTTTTTATTTTTTTAAAAACTGTTGCTAGCAAAGCTTTCTTTAAAATAAAATACACTATTTTAGTGCCCATTGCAACTTTTGAATTACCAAACAAATAAAATAAAAAACTACTTTTTTTTGCTCAGTGAATGCTGTGCTCTAATTTTTTACTCTGCTACGCTTACACTCAAATTGTAAAAATGTATCCGTTTTGCCCCTACTGATTGATATGTGCCAAAAAGGATACAATTTCTTTAAATCGGTTTAAAATTACGCGCTTAGGAATTTTTAAGAGCAAAAAAGTCCCGAAAAACCGTTTTTTCTAAATAAATCAAGATTTTGAGGGTGTTAGAAAAATTTCAAAAACGGTTTCATACTATTTCGACCTAATAAACAATTCCTACTAAATCTCTTCAAAAGTTCCTAATCACTGTCGCACTGTGTTATATGTCCGAAATATCAAAAATTAAGTGCGTATTCCTGCGTATCTACAAGTTATTACTTTTTACATTTTCTTAGAACGGCACGGCGAAGCGATCCCCACTTAGAATTTCTTCGAAATGGAAAGCTTTGCATTAGGAGAAGTTTGTAACAAATATGATTGTAACGAAAAGGAGCTTTCCGAAATTGGGACAAATCTGCGCAATTTTAATAGTAGGCTTGTCCAGAAGTGGAAGAAATGCGATAGAAATAAGGCAGCTTTTGAAAAATTTAATAAAGAATGGGTAGACAAGCCTCTGGTGTTAATAGAAAGATCATCATTTTGAAATGTTGGACGCCCGAGAAAGGTATTTCAGAGTGTTGCAGAAAAACTCAAATCTACAAACTATCAGGCATTTCGGAGAAAGTCTCGACGGATGCATTGTTGCTGGCTGCAAGTAGCAGCTTGTATAAGGACGGAAGGCGTAATTTTTCAAGAATTTTCACGAAAAAGCGCTGGCGCTATTTATAGATTTTGAACATATTAAGTACACATGGAACATATAAAAAAATTCAAAAGGCCAAAACGCTAATATTTATCTGTGCTACGACAAATTGCTGTCGCGAAAAAAATGCTATCCAAGTGGCATCACAGTCACGGACTATTATGCTGAAGTGCCTCTACAAAGTTTGGTGGAACATACATTTGGTGTTATAAAACGGATCATGGATGCAAGCCTACAAACTTATCAGATTGAGAATAACAATATATGATGTGATGGCAGCAGCGGCCATTCAACTTATAGGCAACAGTTTAAGGATTGCGATGGTAACATGATAGGCCAATATTTATTTGCAATTTTTATTGTCCCATTCCAAGTGCAGAAAGGAAATTTAGTCCTATGGAAAAACAATTGACCTTCTTTTACGCGGTAAAGTCGTCTAAGCAAAATACTTTGCGAGAAAGAAACGATGGAGTTGACTCGAAGGGAAGTTGAAAATATAAAAAAAAAAAAAAAAATTAAATATTTTACCATTGGCTCCTTTATAATTCATCACCAATTCCATATGACCATGATTGATGGAAAAACATTAGGCGTCATTTCGGAAAGCTCTTCACAAACATGCGGAATCTGTACGCCGCAACACCAAAAAATATGAACGACTTAAAATGGATAACATGGGGTATCAAGGGTCCACGCATGGATTATTTTTTTTGAGAGTTTTTTGCATACAGAATACCAATAAAAAATGGCAAGTTCGAGGTACTGATAAGGATATTGTTTAGCAAAATAAGAGAAGTATATAGCAGAAGCTGAGAGAAGAAACGAAATTATTGGTGGACATACCAATCGCCGGTACTGGAAGTTCTAACAATGGAAACACTGCACGAAGATTTTTTCAGCAACCAAATTTAAATGCGCGCATAAAAGAAGTACAC